TAATCACAAAATACGTGTCTTTGTCCTGTAAGGTTCCATGGTGATTTTCATCCTCACAGCCTTGAGATGGCTGGTGTGTTTTGAAGTTTGCAGGCACACAGATTTGCCATGTGAGGACTGTCAGACCTGTTCTGTATATTTTCCAGTGGAAATTTGGAGTGTTTGAGACTTGGTTAGAACCTGAAACTGGTACATGATCCAGGGGGCACAGAGTGATGGGAGTTTTGCCTGCAGCTCTGGCTATAGGCTTTTAAAATTACTTTTTAAACTTTCTAAAGTTATACTTATTTCCATTTTAATATATCAGACTAAAATAGGCAAACCCACTTCCAAAAGAAAAAGTAAACAGCCATTCATCCCAAGGACAGTTGGTTTGGTGTGGAGGATGGGAGAGGGGGATCAAAGTATCATCAGTTTTCCTTGAAGAGATTTCAGTTTCAGATCAATGTAAGAAACTGCACAGATTGCTGGAAACACCAAGAAATTATTATAGCTGTGCTGGTTTCCTTAGGAAAAAAAAAAGGAATCCTGAACTGGTAGAGGTCATCTAAAATAGCATGGTCAGTTTAGGGAAGTTTGACATGTAATAAATCATTAGCCTTCCCTCTGTGTGATCAACCTGGGAATAAATCATGTGCATGACCAGAACTATGGATACCTGGTACAATTCCGAAGTGATGTGAGCTACATCAGGTTATGAAGCACATCCATGTTGGGATGTAGAGACATTGAGTCTCTGCTCCTTCTCCAGCTAAATCAGATTGTTTCATGTGTTCTTCTTTCCAAACAAACTATGTTGGTTCACACTGAAGCACACCTTTAGCATTTGTACCATGAATCAACTTTGAATCTTACAGCCAGTTTCTGCTTTGAAATGGGAATAGCACTTCCTCAAAATGGTGTTAAAACTAAACCTTGATGGTGCTTTGAAGATGCTCTGAAGTGCAGGTTTTTTTAAACCAAGGAACTACTGATCAAGAAAGAAATGAGAGGGAAAGATTAGAGGAGGATCTTTGTTAACTGGCATGGGATAAGAAAGCAAGCTGGGAAATCGGCAATTTTATTTGATCTTAACAAAGCAGTTAGACTAGGGACAAAAATCCTCAGTGGGCTGTCACTTGGTGAAGTGTCTTATACCTCTCTTTCTCCAGTGAAATCCAGACAACGTTGCAGCTGATGTGTTTTCTGGCTGGACACAAGGCTGAGTATGGCAGCCCTGCTAGAAGCATCAGTGCTGTAAGGTCTTGGCATCACGCCAGTTTGCTGAACCTTCTTCTAGGACTTCACGTGAGCAATCTCTCCTGCCATTTCCCATCGCTTTTCCCTCCCTGAAATTTATTTTTGGGTGTGGCTTGGCCTGTGGCATCACGTTCAATTGGGTGCCTAAAACCAGAGACAGACCTAGCCTGGGAATTGTCTGAGGAATTCGTTTGTACTCTGGTTTAACTGTCAGTAAAAACTGTGGAGTGCTGTCTCCTTGGATTCCCTAAAGATGTTTCTTTCCTTAATTAATATTTAAGTACTGATAAACAGGATTTGTCTAAGCTGTGCACAGACCACCAAACTGCTGCATAACCCCTACTTCTGCAGCTGCTTGGGTGATACAGTTGATGTGGTATGGAATGTTAAGACAAATTTAGTAGAATTCTCTAATTTTTGAAGAAAGACTCATGTAAACTTGAATCAGGATTTGAGGTGCCTATAGCTGAGTTTTGAAAATTCTGCTCTTTTTGTGGTCTTGGATGATAGTTTTGTTTCCCAATAAACAGTCATTTACAGGTGATGAATTTTTGGTGTTTCCTGAATAGAACAGTAAAACTCAACTGTTCCTGACATTTTTTTGTATTTTGAGTCCAGCTGGTGTTTTCTTAACAGGCTTTTGAAACAGCAGTGAATTTGGATGTAGGGGTGAGCAGAGGGAAGGAAGCTTATTCCTAAACTTTGCACCAATTGATAATCCTGGTGATTGTGAATGAATGAGCTTTGGTTTATTTGGAATATGGAAGTATTCTTGGTTGATTCTTAATCATATGTAGTTGTGTTTCTAAACCAGAGTTTTTTCATACTGCTGTATGCTTCAGCTTTGTAAGTTTAAAAAGACAATGCTCTACACTACGGGCTGGTATTGATAGTTCCCAAACTAAAGCCACAGTTTTGCAACCTAGACTGAGCATGCCTCAGTTAATTTGAGTAAGTCAGTAGAAGCTAAGTTCTGCCTCATTGGAGAGGGATACATGGCCCAGGTCAAAATGACATTTTTAAGGCTAGTTTTTTTTTTTGGGGTTTTTTTTTGGTACTTACAGTACTGGGGCCATGTAGTGTCCCAGTTGCACTGCGTGCTGGTCATGGAAATGTGCTGGTGTAAACAATTTCTGTGGTCTTGCTGCGGTCTCAGGAGCTGCCAAAGGTTAGCAAGATGTTTGTGCTGCACATGGCAATTTGACATTCAGGTTTCAGTGGTGTGAATAAATCCTTTGATAGTAGTGATTCTGGGTATTTTGCAGGTTCTGTGATGATATCCAAGAGTATCTTTTTAAACCAAGCCAAAGCTTTGGAAAAGGGCAGAGCATGGGATTTTTCAAGAAGCTTTTGTTTGAAGTGCTCCATTTCCAATAGAAGGCAGTTGTGGAAAGACTCAAAGTGGCTGCGTGTACTGGTCTAATTGACATTTGTGTGAAAATGAGAGGACTTTGCAAAAGGACAGTGCAGTGTTCTTTGCAGTAGCAAACTCGTGAGATATATTCAGTGTTGAATTTTTGGTTTGTTCTCTTGAAATGGGGAAGATATGCTGAAGTGAGGATGAGGTTCACCCCACCCATTCCCATGTGATGGAAGGCTTGTCTCAGTCTCATGTGTCTTGCTTCTTCCTTCTGTGGTTTCCCTCCACAGCCTGACTCTGACAGACTGTCTTTGACCTCTTTGTCCCTCTCCTCCCTCCTCCTCCTTACAGAAGACTGCTCTTAGCTGATGTGGCACAGCCCTAACCTGAGGCCCTTGGTTTAATTATCCTGAGCTACAACAAAGACAGAAACTCTATCCGGACTCTTTCTCACTGATAACTTTTTTTCTTTGAGTGTGGTTAATGCGGTTTCAAACCAATGTCTGAAGCTGAAGGTATTTTCTGCATGACTGTTACTAGAACTATAATTTTCCTAAAAGAATCAACTTATCCTTGAATGCCAGAATCCTGACCCCCTCCCCCCCAGCCAAACTAAACCCAGAAAGAAACCACTAAATGTAGCAAATGCAGGGGTTTGAAGACAGGAATAGTCTGACAACCAGGAGCTGTTATCTAACCCAGTAACCCCTCTGTATTAAGAGCCTTGCACTGAGGAACAACTGAATTCTCATATCCTAAAACATCCCTTTGTGGAGCAGCTATGAGAATTAGTCCGGTTCACTTCATTAAATAAACATAAGGGACAAATCCTGCAGGCTCCATTTGGATTGGTATGCACTGCTGTGGAAAAAAGACATGGCAGGAAATGTTCAGGAGTACATCTCTTGTGCTAAATTCATCTTCACAAATACTGCCTTTAGTTTATTTTCATTCTGTATTTGTATTCTTTAGAAAGATGTTCTATGTTGTATTATTTAAAAATATGTCGCAGGCATCCCCTCTTAAACCATGAAGCCCACCTTTCTCATTAACAGAGGAAAGAAGGTGTGGCCATCTGTTCCCTGCCACACACCTGCAGTGCTTTATGCACATCTGTATAAATACATCATCAGGCTGTAAGTGTATATCGTGCTGCTGTCACTAAGTTTTCCTTGATTTTCTTTCATGGTGGCCTTTCTGAAGAGCACTGAGACTTCAAACACCATTCCAGGAAAGATGTGTATCACATCCTCACAGCAAAAATTAAGCCTGCATATATCTCAGACAGGAACACAGTTGGAAGATGATTTAAGTGTGTTAAGAGCCATAATGTGAGGTCTGTTTCCTTTGGATGAGATCTCAATGAGTTTTGACAGCAAACTTAATGCAGTCATCTGCAAAGGTGGGCTTGTCTTGCCTTTTCAGATCCTTAGACATCACTTTAATGAAGACAGCTTGAGATCAAAAAAGAGCTGACATCACTTCCTTGTTTTTAAATTATAATGGACAGCAAGGATTGCCCTATGATTGTGTCTCGCCATTAAATAGATCTTCCATCTCTGCTTAGGTGGATTGTTTAACTGTAGGAACACATGGATGTTTGACCACGTAGCCTAAAAGACCAAAGTGCTTGACCCGTTGTCCTTCCTCTGTAGTCTTACTGAATCCTTGGTCCAGGTTTGGATTGAGAGTCTAAAAACAAGTGAGAGGAAAACTCTAGTGATTACAGCAAACACTTTATAGATGGGAGATGAAAAGTCGCACTATGCCATGGAGATAAACGTCTTCTATGGAATGTGGTTTCTGTGCTTTTATAAATCCAAATGGAAGGTTATTTCGTAATGCACTGATGGATTTCCAAGGGTTTTCAGAAAAACACAAACTCAGATCTTGCTGTCCCAGGTATCCCTGGAGTTGAGAAAACAGGTGTTTTTGTAGTTACCACTGCTTTTAGCTGGAGTCACAGATGTTCACTTAAGAAGGCTTCTAAGAGGACTGGAGAGCAAGGAGTGCTGTAGGCTTTGAACAGGCAGCACCAGCTTTTCCAGCTATCTTCTTGCCGCAGCCGGATTTGCTGTTTGTCAGACTCCCGTTCTGTGGGTGACCAGGAACTGTGTGATGCAGCTGGTCCTCACATGGGCTCCTTCAGGAACAGAGCTGTCCTGCTGTCACCACTGTTCACAGGCCTGAGGAGAGAGCAGTGCTCTCCCAGGAGTCTGCAGTCTCGTCTGGCCAAAGGGCAAGGGAGATGGAGCAGCAAAATGAAGCTATAGAGAAGGGGATGCAGGAGGAGCAGTGCAAAGGCAAATACAGGAGTTTGGATGAACCAGCTGCTTTCAGGTTTCTGTAGCTGTTCAACGGTGGAACTGACCCCACTTCTCTCTTTTTTAATCCTTTGCAGGAAGTCCAAGGGAAAGCCAAATGGTAAAAAGCCAGCACCGGAAGAGAAGAAACTTTACCTAGAGCCAGAATACACAAAATCCAGAATTACTGACTTCGAATTTAAGGAGCTAGTGATGTTACCACGGGAAATAGACCTCAATGAGTGGCTTGCCAGCAACAGTGAGTATTGTGCTCATACAGCTCTGAGCTTGCTGTCCATCCTCGAGAGGCCATTCATTCACTCTTTTTGCTGTTTTCAGTGCTTAGAGAAGCACTCAGTGACTATTTATACTTACTGTGTAATGCATGTCATTATACCTTGAGTGGTAATTAAGCTGTCTCACGCACAGCCCAGCTGTGCTCAGCAGCATGAAAGCCTTGATGCATTTCCTCCTTCCAGCTCTCTCCCTGTGGCACTGAGGGCACTGCAGTTTTGGATGCTCTTTGGAAAACCATCAAGATTCCCGTTGACTGCTTCCTAAACTGGCTGGTTCTGCATGTTTCTTGACTCCAGCTACTGACCTTCTAGAAGCATTGTAAAAATGTAGTTTCTAAAGACTTGTAGGTAAAGCAGCTTATGCCTAAAGCCAGAAGTTGTGAAGTCTTTTGGACAGATTTTTTCCTCCCCACTCCTTCTAAATTTTGGTGGAATTACTGTGGTTTTAAACAGTAGACAGGCTGAAATTCAGAGATGTGACCAACTACTGTGATTGAATGCTGTACCCTGTGCACTTCAGCCCTGATTTGCTGTACTTTTCTGGGCTACTCCTGCCAGTCCTCAGCTGCATCTATGGCCTACTCTTGTTTATGTTTTCAACAGTGTGTGGTAGTAGCAAGAAACTACTTTAAACTCCACACTAGCAAAGTTTATAGAGACTCGTTAAGAAAAAGTGAGTGCCTCGTGAGAAGTATTAAGAAGTTAAATTATCTCAGGAGATTTTTAAAAACTAGAAGTGTACTAGGTTTCATGCTGGTTTTTGTTTTTACAAGGAGATGTGTTGTGAAGACTAATAGTGCTGTTTTCTAGCCACTGTAGATTTTAAGTCTGACTTCAAAAGAAGGTAGCAAATTGTTTGCCTTCAGCTTATAGCAGAGTATTCTACTGTAAAGGTGAGGCTGATGATGGAGACACTTTCCAGTCTTGCTGCTTTGTGAGTAATAAGAGCTAATGCATCATAGTGCTTTCATCTTAAATCAAAACAAGAGCTTTCATTCTGTGTACCTCTTTGTTTTGCAGTTCATCATTAGGCTCATTTAGCTAAATCATGTTTAAATTTGTATCCAAGCTCAAGACTGAGGTTGCTTCACTTGCTGTATTTAAATAATTGTCTGGAGGATAACGAGTGTTTGAAAATATTTTACTTCTGAATTTCTTTCCTTTGTTTATTTTTCAGCAACAACTTTCTTTCATCACATCAACTTACAGTATAGTACAATCTCAGAGTTCTGTACAGGAGAGTCATGTCAGACCATGGCAGTGTGCAATACGTAAGTCAATATTTTCATTTATTACATGTGCAAGGTTTCCATGTCTTCAGAATTGCCTGGGGAAGGATATTGGTATTGGATGGCATCAGACAAGTGTTTTACAGCAGGTCTCTGCTTGTTGAGAATGTGTCAGCTGTGCATCCTCTTCTCTCCCTTCAGCAGGGAGCTGTGGTAGAAATCTGTTTTGGTGGAGAACTAGAGGGATGAGACTCTCTGAGTGCTCTGAGCTGGTTTTATAAGGTCAGATCAGAGAGGCAAATGACCATGTGTGTATTTGGGGGAAAGGAGGATGTTAAGGACCCTTCCCTGTCTGACCATCCGGGAGCCACTGTGGCAGTCAGTTTTGGGCTGAGACCAAGGCCCTTTCACAGCTACACTACCCCACACTCACTCAGGCCAGCTTTTCCTACCGGCTTGACCCAGCTTTTCCATAGCAGAATCTTGGCTATCAAGATCCTTACAATTAACTTGGTACAGTGACTAAATAATCTCATAACAGCCCAATCTGGCCTCTCCACAGGGGGGCCCCAAACAAAGGAAACCCTGGGCTTTTATACTGTCACAGTTGAAAAAGCCTGAGTGAGTTTTGGGGTTGTCAGCTCCTGTTGTGTCACCTGGCTGAGCCACAGGTCCCCATGTCCCTTGTTGTGCCCCTGCCACACAGAGCTCGGCCCTGAGCCTGCAGTGCATCTACTCGTGGAAGTACCTGCATGGAGGGTGCTCCTCAGCAGGGCCAGGGCAGGACTGTCCATCCTGGTTACAGTGCTGGGCTTCCAGAGAAGGCAGGGTAGAAGAAGTGAGTTGAGAAAACCTCCAAGAGTGCTTCTGAGAGCTGGAATGCTGACACAGCTCCAGGCTGTGGTGGATAACCTCTAGCCTGACGTGAGCCACAGGTTCTCTGCCTGAGCCCCTGGGCACAGAGGACACAAGTGGCAGCTTTGCAAGAGTAAGAAAAACTTCTTGGTTTGGCGTTCTTCTGTGTCTAGAACTTACTGACATTGACTAGCAGTTCTGAAAGAAAGCTTTGTAGTGTTACTGTACAGTGTGAATATGAGAAAAAGTTACAGTAAACTTCTGATGAGCACAGTCCAACATGATGGAATATGAGATCCAGTCAAGTATGAATAAGCCTGTTGTGTTTTGGGTTTTTTCCCTCCAACATGTGTTGATAGTCCTTTTCTTCCCTCCTCTTGCATTTCCTGGGATTAATTTACTTGATGGATTTTAAAAGAGACGACTGGGCAGTTAATGTCATAGTACATCAAACAACATCCCAGGGAATATGCAACAGAACCATAACTCTATATTGTATCTCTGACAGTCATTACATCATTCTTAGAGGGAAAGCCTTGCTTAATGCACTGGGCTATCTTGCACACTCAAAATTAATATCAGGGGCTTTCTTTGAGAGCACTCAGAATCACACAAAGTATATGGAGGGTATTTTTGCATGCAAAAGTTGGAATGATAACTGTCAGTTTCTAACTGCCATGCTAGAGTCTTTGAAACCAAGCTGAAAGAGAAAGGAATAAATCTCTCCTGGACCCAGATTTTATCAAAAGGAGACAGCTTGTCTCTAAGTAAGAAATGGTGAGCATTAAGATGAGTATTTTGTTGATTCTTGTTCCCAAGCTTGCTCATGTTTAAATTCCTGATGCAGCACTAGCTGTCCCAAACACTGAGTTTAACTGTTGATCCACATGGCTGGTGGGAAATAGTGGCTAAAAGGAGGTGGTGATGGGAAACCTGTATTAGTGTTGCTCCATTCTGCTCTAGTGAGCCTTAAACAAGAGTTCTCTGTAAGCACCTTGTGCTGCAGAATAAAGAGAGGAAATGCCTGTAGGCAACTGCAGCTGTAGCCTGTATTTTTTGTGGTGGGGACTAATAGCAGAATGTTCTTATCCTTTGTTTTGGAAAAGTGAAAAATTGCGCTATTTGGGAATAACAGGAAGCATGTCTACACTTGGGTGAAGCACTTGCAACGGTTTGTGTGTAGCTAAATCATAACAACCTCAGTACCTTCCTGTACTTGGGAAGGTGGCTGATTCACGTTTGCAAAGTGGAGGCTGCTTGCTTCTAGCAAGTGTGTGGGTCTGTGGAAAAGCCACAGGTGAGATGAGCTGCCTACACAGCTCAGCACAGTCCAGTTTTGTGGGCCCCCTTCATAATCGTGTTCTCCAAATCCTGATCTCTTTGTTGTGCCTTTCCTAGCTCTGGTAAGCTGAGGATATGCTGCTTGTGTTGGAGAAGCAGCAGTTGCTGGGCTCACTGTGCCCTGGACCTGTCTGCAGTGTATAAAGAGAGACACCTGGACACTGGTGTCAGTTGCTGATTAACTTGATGGACACTCCAGGCTTAGCCTTCTGTGGCCATGATCTGTTTCTTGCTGCCCTTTGGAATAAAACCATCTGGCTCTATAAGATTGCCATAGAATTACAGTACCTTGGAATTAAGGTGCAGTTTGCCATTTTTTCCCATGCTGATTTCTTGGGTAGTTCCATATGAAAGTCTGCATTCTGTTCCACTTTTATATTTTCCCTGCTGAGTTCTTTATGATACATTTTGGATCACACCATTCTGTTCATACCTAAGAAAGGCTTTTTTTATTTATGAGATGTTCAAGTAACTATTGAGAACTGGTTGCTTGTCAAGTTACTTGATGTTCAAATTGTACTGTAAGTACCCTGTCCTAAATTTAAAGTATTTGCTGGCACAATAAGCACTGGTTGCAGTTAAATATTTGAGGTAAGGTTTTAACATGTGAGAAAAGCTGCAGCCAACTGACAAACTGCAGACAGATGCAGCTTTCAGCCCTCTGTCAGATACATGAGATAGCACAGCCATCTGCACACAGCAAGGAGGAGAATTTCTGCTTATGGTCACTAGGAGACATCTGACCAAAACTTAGTCTCAGTGTAGAACAGATGGAAGCATTTGCTGTCAAGGTGGGATAATGCCAAGAGAAATACCATAATGGCTAGTTATCCTCAGACTTTAATGAGGGTGAATGAATATAACTTTGGGAATTACTTAATTTTGCTCATTAATATGTTTATCACTTGTTGTAAAGCAGGTACTATATTTTAACACAGCATTTGCTATTAAAATTTAGTATGCTTTATAGCTTATTATTGCACAAACCAGCTTTAAAGCACCCTGAGCTATAAACTGGTTTTCTAGCTGACATTTGGGTGAAACTCCTCAAAGTGCTGCAGTGAGTGTACTAAATAAGAGCCTGTATAAGTGCTGTACATAAAAAGATGAGTCTACAAAACTCATGAGGCAGGAATAAAGGATGGATGCCAACTTTCAGGAAGCCCACTTGTCAAAATGTTTTGGTCCAGTGAAATCCCTTAATTGATAACGCTTATCACTCATTTTTTTCTCATCTTAGTCTTCTTTCTCATGTTTACCTTGCCCTTAGTGTCTCTGTATAGGGAGGGGATTTCCTTCTAGAGTGCCTAATTCAAACTTGTTTTACATTTTCTTACGTTTAAGTTCCCCCAGCTCTGTGTTTTTACTGATGCCTCCTTTCTCTTCTCTGCCATCCAGACGTTGCTTAGCCCTTGTGAAACCATCAAAGCTGTTCCAGCTGCTCACAAGCAGTGTACTTCTGCCTCTGGCTTTCTGTCCTGCTTTCTTCATGTTGCCTGTTTTGTGGTATTTCTACCAGGCCTGTCTCTCCTTCCTTCCCAGGCAGAATAATTTCCACAGTATATGCTTTTCCCTCCTTTCCAGAAGCTTTTCTTGTATATTGGTGTAACTTCAGTTCTGCCTTGGCTTCTGTGTCTTCAACACCAGCCCAGAGTGTTTTAGAGGAAAAGACAGAAAGTACATACATATAGTAAGGTGCAGTATTGTGATTTCATTTCTGATTTCACATGTCTTATGCTTCATTATTTGCATCATAGACTCTTCTCTACTAAACCCATAGTCATTTCTCCCTGGGATTTAGAATGGAGCTGCACATTCCTCATAACTTTCCATACTGGGGGGATTTAAATCTGCAACTTTTTGAAAAGTGCCCTTAAGTCTCATCCTCTTGTCCTTTCTGCTTCCCATCCATTCCCTAATATGGGACTGTGCTGTCACAGTGCCAGTGGTGGAATGCAATTAGGCTTCTGTGCCCAAGTGAGCCCTTCCATGGCCCCAGACTGCTCCTATCCTGTTCATGGAGATAACTCCAGCGTGGGTGGAAGCCATGTACCAGGTGCGAGATGTTCATGGCACGTCAGGGGCTCCTCTCTTCCCCTGAGAGCTGTGAAATCTATTCAACAGCACCTGAAGCATGAGGAAAACACATCATTCTCATCAACAGGACAGTCCTTGTAGTTATTCCCTTACCGTTAATGATTCTTCTGTTTAATTCCAATTTTGCATATTTCATTTCCAGATTTTCAAGGAGAGACTGAAAGGATAGGCAGTGGGGTGCTAGAGCAGATTTATTCACTTACATGAGAATATAAGTAAACTTGTACCGTAGCCAAATTGTTTCTTTTGACCAAAATCCAATTATCAACACTCAGTTTTGCACCTAAGGGCAGCTCTAAACTGTGCTGTGTCTTGCAGTTGAGGATTCCTGCAGCACGAGAGAGCTGCTGGGGTACAACAGTGCAGCCTGCCTCTGCTCTTGGTGACTAGCATTGTCTTAAGACCCAAACTAAGGCTGAATTGCCTGGGACTCTCTCACTGAAGGAGTAGAAAAACGAAGTTGTGTTGGTGCACTGCACTGTGTAATTCCTTAGACATGGATTGTACGAAGGAAGTGAGCAGTGGTGAAGAGCACAGTCTGTGCCTAAGGGCCCAAGTGCTGGGTTTGATGCCTGACATAGCTCTAAAAAGAACTTTTGACTCCTGCTGTTTTCACCCACTCACCTTTTTATGCAATTTTGCAGTCAGTCCTTGTCTCTCTAGTAAATGACAGTGGCCAAGTACTAAATGGTGAAAGGGAGCTGGAAGAAAAATTCTAAAACCTTAAAAGTTTGCATTAAGGTTTGTAGTTGCCTTTCATCTCGTAACTTAAACTACCCTACTTATTTCTGCAGCTTCCTCTTGTTTTTGTATGGCTTGGGATGTGAACAGTGTCAGTGGGGAAGACCCAAATCCAATACCCTGGATTTCTTATGAGCCCTGTAATGATATTGGACTGTGCCTTGAGCTTAGACTTTTTGAAGAAAGTTCATAAACTGGAACTCAAGGCTTATCTGATGTGACATAGGGAAAAAAACTTTTAAAGTGTTTTCCTGAATTCTTTGTTTGTAAAATATTCTCGCTGTGTGCCTAATCCAGTGGGTAGCTGCTCTTGGTAGCAGTTAGAGATACTTTAATTAACCATGACTATTTTTAAAAAAGGAACAAACATTTAGTTGTTTTGTAGCCTTCAGAGTGTCTGTCAGCTGAGGAATGGCTGCAGTTAATTAAGATTATTATGGCTAACTGATTGAATTATCGTTGCTTTTGAAGGGCTAGTATCTCCTGTTAAGATCCCACAGTAATATTCACTGGTGGCAGAATCACATGTAAATTTGTTTGGGGAAGTCTGTAACTGTAACATAAAGAGCAGAATTCAAACACACGCTGGTATGGATGTGCAGAAGGGGCCTGAACACTTCTCCCGAGTTGCATTTTGGAGCAGGATTTAGAGCACCTGAAATCACTGCCAGTGCTGGGGAGCCCCAGTCTGCAGAAGCCGGTGTTGTGGAGCCACCGTCTGACTGTTTCACAGCATTGCACTACACAACTAATTTATGCTGTGTGATGTTAGGCATCAGAAGTTCATCAGTTCATCACTGTGCAATGTTGTTGCCCTTTAAATATAGTTCTGTAATGCTTTCCTGGACAGTTCTACAGGGAATTATCACTCCCTCAGCAGAATTCCTCCCCTTGAAATCTTGTCAGCATTTCCGTGCTTGGTATTGCCACCTGCACTGTGGCCTAGACTGATAGGGAGAGACAAAATCCACCAACGCAAGTTCAAGTTCTTTGGTGCAGAAAGAAGTGAATCTCTTCTGTAGCAGCTGTTTCGGATGACTTGGACACAGCCTCTTGGAGGAGCAGCTGAGGAGACAGAGTGTGGTGTGGTGACACTGTCCCTTCTCTCCACAGACAGTACTACTGGTATGATGAGCGGGGAAAGAAGATCAAGTGCACTGCTCCTCAGTACGTTGACTTCGTCATGAGCTCGGTGCAGAAACTAGTGACAGATGAGGATGTCTTTCCAACAAAATATGGTATGGCCACTTCCTGGGGCTCTTGGGGGGTGCCATCAGTCAAGTGAAAGTTGGCATTCATGTGTATGAATGCCACATAGCTTTCTCACTTTTGTTTCATGGGTTTTAGTTGTATTTTTTATATATAGTTTTCTTTCTTTGCATGTTTCTTTTGTAGTGTTGGTTGGTTGGTTGGGGTTTTTTAAGGAAGATTATAAGTTTGGTTGATTCTTGCAGTGAAAAAAGACTTACCTTCTTTGTGTATGAACTGGGGTGAAAGTCTCAAAAACCTGACCCCTTGGCCTGTATCATCATCAGTACCCCTTTTTCTTCAGGCATTTTGAGATGCTCTAGTTTGGGTTTATAGAGGATAAAATTCTGAAAACAGTCAGCATTTGTGTGTTCAATATAGTCTGCTGATAGCAAACTTCAACCTTTGTGTGGCTTTACTATTTCCATTAGAGCCTCAATGCATTAAGAAATGTGGGTAATAAATTGGATTGTAGCAATGTGGCTTGCTTTCTTTGCCCAAGGCTCTGCATTGTCTCTCAGAGTGTTTGCACTTTCTCCTTTCCCATACGAAGATTAAATAAGAATGTGATTTTTAAGAGCTGAAAAGCAATAGCAAAGTAATTTTAACTCAAATTTGTATCCTAACAAGATTGCTACATGCAATGCCTTTGGTTAAGGGGAAGAAAATAGAAACTTGAGGCTATTGTAGGTGGGCTTAATCAGGACTAAAAGCAGCTGGCTTCATGAGCTACTTCAACAAGTAATTGGGAAACTAGGACATTACAATGTGTAGGACATTACAGTATAGAAAACATTCGGCTAGCAGCTTTGCTTACAAGCAGCTGGATCTGGAAGGAGGCAGTTTATTTCACTTTTGATAAAATTTCAGCAATGAAATGAGGGAATACGTTGTATAAAGTTATGTACAAACTGCCACACACCACCAAGGCCCGTGTACCTTGGCTTCCGTTTTAGGATCTCTGAATTGGTGTTCTGGGGGAAAACCCATTCCTGGACAAACTAGATAAGGACACAGAAGAACCTCTCATTTTTACAGCCAGAACAGAAAAGGTAGTGGCTTTAGAGAAAAACTACACGTCCTGCCTGGTTTTTGAACCCTTAAGGTTTAAAATGTAACTTCAAGTGCAAATGCTTAATACTTCCTTAGCTTTGTCCCCCAAATTCCTGTCAAAAGAGGATAATATGACACAGGGCCCTCATTTGCTATGTAAGTTGGGCTGGTTGCTCTCACCCAAATGCTGTTGTGGGGCTGACAGTGAGCAGCTGGTGCTATCATGGTGTTTTTCTCTCTCTTCCTTTCAGGCAAGGAATTCCCAAACTCCTTTGAGTCCCTAGTGAAGAAGATCTGCAAATACCTGTTCCATGTGCTGGCCCATATCTACTCCTCACACTTTAAGGAGACTTTGGCACTGGAGCTGCACGGACATTTAAACACACTCTACACACACTTTATCCTATTCATCAGGGAGTTCAACCTCGTGGACCCTAAAGAGACCACCATCATGGATGACCTCACGGAGGTCCTCTGCAGCAGCAGCAGCAGCGGGAGCAGCAGTAACGGCAGCGGCAACGGCAGCAGCAACAGCGCAGGAGCACAGAACCACGTGAAGGAGAGATGAGCCCTCCTGCTGGACCCACACTAACATGACAAACGATAGAACCTATTGTGTGTGTGTGTATGTATATGTTCAGATATACATACGGGCATATGCAGCCATGAAAGCTGACCGCAGAGATGCTGCCCCGCAGGACGCGCCGTCGTACGGGGCTGTTCGGAGCTTTGGGTTCATGCGCCAGCCGCCGAGAAGTTGCACCAGTTTTATTTTATTTTCTGTCCACTCCTCCTTTTACCTATTCAGATGGATGACGAGTGCTGTTTTTAGAGAAGAGCCAAGCTTGAGAGTGGGGTCACTCTTGGTTATTTTGGTTGTTTTTTAATTTTTTTTTTGGTGGTTTTTTTTTTTTTCTCCTTTTGTTTGGTTGGTTGATTTTTCTGATTTTCTTTCTTTGGTCTTGAGTGCAAGCCCTTTGGTCTTTCTAGGATGGTGGTCCTGCCATTTAAAAAGTATCTATTATATTATAAGAAGTAACTTTTACTTTGAAGTGGCTTAAAATGCAGGTTTGTTCGGGGGTGTTTTTTTGGGGGGTGGTTTTTGGTTTGGTTTTACATAGACTGCCCCTTACCCTGCCAAAAGCTCCCCCACTGAGTGCATCTTGCCCTTTTGTTAGCTTGGAATGGGAAGAAACTCCTGGTTTAACTAGAGTAGCAGCTAGTGGCTTGCTACATGTTGAAAGTGGGGCAAGATTCTCCAGTTGTCCCATCTAGTCGGTCACAAGGTGTGAACGTGCAAGAGGATCCACAAACCTTTCTGCTTATTGCTCCTACAACATATATACTCTTTTCTCTGCTCCCCTGCCTCTTCTTTTCCCAGGCACACCTGCACAGGTAACAGGAGTAGGATCACTGCAGTCCAGAACCATGTGCAAGAGTCACCACCGTTTGCTTTCCCTTAACAGAGGCCCGGGGAGGGGAGGAGAAGGGTAATACTGAGTCAGTCACCGCCTGTGCTAGAAAGATGGCTGTTGGCATAAAATTATATTGTTGGCTTATTTTAGTTCATCTGTTCTATAATAATAAAAACAAATCTATCAGCCACAAGCTTCGTTTTCATGTGTGCAGCATCAGAAATCACCAGACCCCCACCCCTAGAGCCTCCCTCCCACCACTCGATGCTGCTGGCCCTGCTGGCAGCCAGCTTTATAAATAACGGGTTGTTTTTCACCCTGTCATCTTACGATGAATTCCTTGCTTTTCCCAGTCACCCTAGGAACAACCTCCCCAGGAAATATGAAGATAAGCATCACTTGGAGAGGGGGCAGCTTTCCTGTTTGTGCACAAATCCATTTTGCAAATGCAGTGGGTTCCTGGATAACTTGAGGCAAATACTGTACCACAGCATCTCTGGATACAGTATTACATCAGCACTGTATCTGGACAGTCATATTCCTTTCTTTCATTCAAGTTTCCATTGAATCCTTGCAGGCATTTTTTCCAGTTGGGGAAATGCCAGATTTTACTTGCACTTGTTCTTCTGTCAAAGCTGTGACAATTGTTTGCTGCTGGTTTTGGTCATTACTTGAGGCCTATTCATTACCTACGAATGATTAATAATTGACCTGGCATAAATCTGAGCAGGTTTTCCAGAATGAAGTCTGTACCTGTAGTAAAAGGCAGTAGAGAAGAGGAAGGTAGAACAAGTGCAAAGGAAAAGCACAACCAAGGGGTGGAATTAAAAAAAAAAAAAGGCAAAAAAACCAAGAAACAAAGCATGAGCAAGAAAGGACAAAATAAAAGAAAAAACACAAGCAAGAAAAAAGCTTGTGAAGAAAGAGTGCAATAACAGCAATCGATTGTGACAAGTGAGAGAAAGAATAAATCATAAAAGTGACCAAAAAAAGAACAAAAAGACCTGAGCACAGGAGAAGGGAAGAGGAGGAGTGAGGGCTGGATGGAGGGATTGAAAACAATCTTAACTTGTGATGCCTGTATTGTTTGTTTCTGGATTGTGGATACCAGGGTCTCACTGACCTGCTCAAGTGAGTTGCTGTTAATACAGTGTTCAAGAGCACTCCTTCCCAACCATGTCCTCCTGCTACAGCCTCCACACCCAGACTAATGCTCCCATTCAGTCCCCATGCTGGTGTGAGCCTTTCCATGACAATTCCCTGCACTAAAGTCTGGAGAGAAAAGCAGAGGTCAGCAGAAGCAGTTGGAACAGTGCTGTTGGTAAGGCCCCTGTGCTGCTTGCCCTGAGAACACAGTAAAGTTCAAGGTAAGAAACTGAGAGCAAGAAACAAGCACTCAAAACAATGATTTCTGGTAATTTAAGATCTTCCTGTTTTTACATGCAGTTGCAGTTGTGCTCTCTGTAAGGCCATTTAGAACTGAAGCATTTGAGAAAGGTTTGACTCGCAAAAGAGGCAGTTCAACCCTGGAATGACCGACCCAGCCCCAGCTCTTGAGTTTCCAATCACAACACGGTGATATCTGTGTGGAACACAAGGGTGGCTGTGCCTCAGCTTCCCATAGGAGAACTGGCAGACCCTTGTAACAAGTCTGGGAACGCACGTGTTGGCTCCAAGCAGCAAACAATGCAGCTGCCAGGAGAGCAGTGCAGTCCCACAGAACCTCAGGAAGAGCCTGCTGTTGTTCATGGCAGCTGTCCCAGCTTCACTCTGCAGGCATTTGATACTCCTGAAAGCACGGGCGCTTCATCTGCCGGGGTAATCGCTTTATATTTTACAAGCAGTTAACAAGAACACAAATAATGAATCCTATTTTAGTGTGGCCTATCTTGTTGGGTTTAGCAGTGGGAAATAGGAAAACATTGAAATAGTGCCAACACCAATGTTCTTGTCAGGAGTAAATGTTACTGTAAAGCTCAGCCTGAAGGCATCCGAGGGTATTTCAGTGGTTACTGAACTACACTGTAGAAACTTCAGATACGGAAGTGCCACTAAGCCTTCAGAGCTTGTCAGTGACTTCCTCCCATGCTTAGAACATGTCACCAATGCCCACACTGAGCACTGAGCCTGACTTCAGCTGGGACTAACAGGCTTAGGTCTTCTAACACTGATGAAATTACCATATTGTTGCTTTAAATACGCTTTGTACATTAAAGTGCTGTCCGAGCAATGGCGACAACTTAATTACCCTACATTCAATGCCCCCCTACTCCCAAAGATCATGACAGATCATACCGTGGTTTGAGTGCTGTTAAATAAATAAAATACCACAGAAAAATAACCAAACACTACTAGAAAAACACCTTCTTGAACCATCTAGGCACACACACCCTCACCCTGTCATACATGCCTTTGGCAGGCCTTGCCTTGTCAAACTCAACTTTACACCTGCCAGTGCAGAATCCTTGACCAACTTCCAGGCCTAAAACCACAGTAAAGCATAGGCTGTAACAGCTGAAGTCTTTCACTTAAACCCAGCAATAGTCCTGTGTGTGTTTTGGGCCATCCTGTTCTTGACAGTTGGTGCTCTGCAAACACGAGTGATGTGCTGAAGAGCTGAGGTTGCATAAGTTTATAGTATACATAAATTTATAGGGTGAAATGTATCAAGCTGAAACTTTCCCCTATTTTGTCTTTGAGGCTGCAGCATCTATAGGAAATCTAAACCCCAGTAGCTATAAATAAAAACAGGAGGAAAATAATTTCTTTATCCATGCCATCTGGAGTAAACACCAGCAGCAGGTCAGCAAGCACCAAAGTCAGCAGTTTGTGTCTGTCACAAGTGCTACCTCTGGCCATTCAGGGAAGGGACACAGAACAGTGCCACCACATCTTTTGCACGAACAGCCATGTTTCTTCAAGGGAATGAAGCTGTGTAGAGCTCAGAGGGGCAGCTGCACCCCAGCCCGAAGAAAGGTCCTGAAGTGGCAAGCTGGAAATTGAGTCAGGCATCTTCAACTCAGCAAAGTCAGAGCTATGCCTTTCCTCCTTGCCTGGGAATTGCAGGAAGTTCCAAGTCTCAGATCCCACAGAGCACACTCATTTTACATGTGAGTAACAACCTCATGATCTGAGGAAGCCGAGAGGTGGCTCTGAGGTACCCCCAGTTCTGGCCAAACACGTGCATACCAGGATGCTCCTGGAATTGATCAGGGGCTAAAGATGGATGCTCCCAGGTAACAATGAGCTCCTGCACATCAGCAGGAGACTGAAGGACTGCCACAGAAACAAGCCATCCCATAAAAGAACAAGCCAGCTTTATGAAGCCTGCTAAGCATGCTGATCTCATCAAAGCCACACTTCACCCAACAAGCCTTTGCTCACATCCATCGTGTGTCTTGTCCCAGCCAATCCTTAGCTCACCATTTCAGCTGTTAACAGAAAGAAGTCAAATCCAGAAATATTCTTCCATTATCTAAACTGCAGACAGAGGAGTAGGTTGTTGTTTTGTTCTATTCAAACCTACTAAACAAATGAAAGCGATGTTTGTGCCTGTAGCACAAATGGCAACACCAGGCAGTTGAAATATATTTCTATTGCCCAGTGGCTGTCAGTAGTCACAGCACAGGGTTCAGTGTGGCTGAGTTATCTATGCTGCTGTGCCTGAACATAAACCCAGTACCTGGAGGATTTCAGGACAGATCTGAGTATCTTTATGTGATAAGCTGAGTGCAGAACAGCAAAATCTTTCCAAATGAACTGATGATGAGAAACATGAGAAAACACCAAACAGCTGGCAGAAAATCCACAGTGTCCTAATGGAGTCTCTGTTCTTTTCATGGACAGAATTGTTCTGGTTGTGACAGCTGACATGAACAATAAGACTTTTCAAAGCTAGGTTAGCATGTGATTGAGAGAAAACAGAAATTGTTGTGGCCAAGCACTCAGATGGAAGAACACTCAGTGAGCTTTGTCTAGCAAAAAAAAAAAAAAAAAAAAAAAAGAAAAACCAGGCTAAACTTGTTTTTATGTTGTCATCTGATAATTATTTTCATTATTTCTAAAAAGGAGGCATTAAAATGCTCTGGCACTTTCCCACACACCACCAGTGCAGGTAGCTCACATGCTATCACAAAGTGATGCAGGGTCCTTCATAAACCACCTCCTCCTTTTAATGGTCTCTGGGATAATTCAAAAGAAAGAGTAGAAAGAGCCTGGGCTAGACAGGCTTTGTGCTCAGAGCAACCCTCTGCAACATCAGCTGAGACACAGAAGGCAAAAGCCACCTCACAGAGGATTTTAGCTTCTCTGAAACCACTGCCTCAAGCTGACATGAGTAAGGCTTAGAAGACACCTGCCCTGAAGCAAGTACTGCCCTCAAGGTCTTGGAAAGGAAACCTAAACAGGGGAAACAAACTGGTCCTGGGCAGCAGCCACTAATTTAACTCCCACTCTGAACCAGTGGAGTACTCCAGGGTTCCCCCCGAAGGGTTTTAATGCCAGTGCAGGAGTTGGAGGTGAATCCCCAGTCTGGGAAAGAGAAGAAAGACTGCACAGCTCTCCAGCACCACAGACTCTCCAAATCTGCAAGGACACACAGCAGTTACAGAGTCCTGTTCTGATCCTTTGTGTGTGCACTGAATTCCTTTAAAAGGCCTTTACTTAACAGCCCTAATTCCAAGTAGATGAAATTTCCTAAATTACTTGTTTCCCCTCTCTTAATTGCACTTGACAAAGTATCAAAAACAAAAACCTGATTTCCATAGGATTAATTCCTGAAATCATCTCAAGGAATATTCTTTCTCTTCCTAAGCATCAAAACTGAAGTAGAAGAGCTAACTCTCTCATGTCAAATCTAGTAGACAATGAAATAGCTCTTAATACAGAAATTAATCCCACTAAACAATTTACTTTGATTCATAAGGAAAACCCTATGCTTGGCTCTATTTATAAACATAATCCAGAACAGGAAAGTGACATTGGATAACCCAATGTGTTTACCTGAAATATATGTAAAACATGTAACAGAAAGAATTCTGTCCTTTTCAGCCAGGTTTGCTGACACTCAACAATTTAGGAAGGTTAATTTGAATCCTTGTGTCTATAAAACCTGCCTTAGCAGGAGTAAGTACAAGAAGCAGAAGATTGCAGCTGAAGACCTGTTGTACCCACTACAGCAGAACTATGAAAAGT